TAGTTTGCTGGAAGGTAATTGGTTGTTCAAGTAGGTTTATACACTCTTACTACTCAAGGGTGTGAGAAACTAAATGAAAACTGTAAACTATAACATCATACATATATAAGAATATAAGTGTACATGCATAGTTTAGTTCAATAATGTAAAATGGTTTTATAAGACCTCTTATGGGTTTTTGAACAATAATTAACAATGACTTGATGTCATTTATAATATACATTTCAAAGGTAAAACAATTGATAACAATGCGTTTTTAAGATTTAAAACCATTTCATGCATCACATTTTGTAGTATGTGAAATCTGTTAAATGACAAACACTGTTATAAAATACATAACAATGATTTAATAACATGTTTGTTTCTACTTGTATTCCCCCCCCCCCTTTAAAGCATTTAAAATCATTTAAAACATTGATTAGGGGTATGAACTCACCTGTAGTTGGTGATTGGAATGAAATGAACGGTATCGGATTGCTAGGTGCCAAGCGTGGACTTGTGAACACACTACGATCCTAATGAACATATAATCACACATATATGCACTCAATTAGACACAATTTACTAATTGATAATGTTTAAGACATCCTAGGCATAATAAACACTTTATTTAAGTATTTTAAGCCATAAGGATTGCATCTAAGCTATTGTGGGACAGGTATTTGTGTTTAGGGTTACCAAAGGACCTATATGAGAGTTTACTCTCTATAACCATCACACATGGAGTTTACGGTTGTAAACTCTTGAGTTTACGGCCGTAAACTCCCAAACATGTGTGTTTGGTGTGTTTTGAAGTCCCAAATGCTTTCTAGAATTGTTCTAACTTAGTGGCTAAGTCCTTGGAAGGGTTTAAGGTCTAGAAGTACTCCAATTAGGAGTTTACGGCCTCAAGGCCATTTCCCTTAGAGTTTACGGCCGTAAACTCTAAGTATGGTGGGTTTTTGTTGTTTTCAAGTCTCTTGCATTTGAAGGATATGTTCTAGACAATTGTTTAAAGCTAATGAGAACCCTAGGCACACTTTGGTGCCATTCTTTTGAGTTTACGGCCCAAGAGCATTCTCTTGGCCGTAAACTCACTTTGATGAGTGATTTTTATGTATTTTGGTTCTTCATTTTTGTGGGAAACAATTCCATGAAGGGGTCTAGGGCTTTAGGTGTCTTGAAGACACCCTTTTGTCCATTTCAATGGAGTTTACGGCCTAAGCTTCTCTTGGGCCGTAAACTCACTTTTGTTTGTGTCATTTGATGTGTTTAAGACCTTGTTCTACTTGGGGAAATAGTCTAGATACAAGCCTTTAAGTCCTAGTGTCCTCAAAACACCATTTAGTGTTGGAAATGTGGAGTTTACGGCCTAAGAGGGTTCTGGGCCGTAAACTCCCAATCTTGGGTGGATTGTGGCTTGTTTTCTTGTCCCTAACATGCATACATAAACATATAAGGCCTTATCATAACACAAGTATCGGTTTTGGCTTCGTTTCAGGAGTTTACCGCTCAAGAACACCTCGAGGTGTAAACTCCTAGATTTCATGTTTTAGCCTTCTAAAACATGTTATAGAGACGTATAAAGCTTTCTAACAATACTATAAAGAGTTACTCACGTTTTGGTATAAAAACCCGAAGATCCGTCAGAGAGAAAATGGATTTTCTCTAGTCGAAAATGTGAATAATGAATGATTTTGGTTTAGAAATCTATTTATAGTCCTGAGATATGTTGGCAGAAAATATTTTTATTCCTGAAATGATCCCTAATAAATTAGAGTGTTGGAATAACAGTGTTGCACCAAACCCAAGTGCACCCACTCTCCTGATATTTCCTGAAGTGTGAACCCTGAATTTCTCAAACTTACGCGAAGAGTCTGAAAATTAACTGTGACTGCTACTACTTCTATTGAAGTGATATAGTTTGTACGGAATGGAAATTTCGGGTTGTCACATTGATTATATGACTTCTTCTCAAGAACAAGAAACACAAGGATCATCTACATGAGTTGATCAACCTCAATTGTGGGACTTTGTGACTAAGCTCGATAAACTTGCTGGAGTAGGAGGATGTTGGAAGTTCAAGTGTAATCTTTGCAGTGAAACCCGATAATGGTCATATTCTAGAGTTAGAGCACATTTTCTTGGCATAAAAGGTAATCTATTATTCAAATTAGTGTGTGTGTGTGTGTGTGTCTATGTAATTTTCAATTTTCAATTTATGTTATTGACTTATTGTATTGAAGTATTGAACTATTGATTCATTAACAATTGTAATGAAATAAGAGGCTGTGATTTTTGTTTTGATTCATGTTATTCAATAGAACTATTTAATTATTTATTCATGAACAATGGTAAAGAAATAAGAGGTTTTTGATTCACTTTCTTGTTTTGATTAATGTAATGTAATTGAATTTATAATGTTAATGATGACCTTATTTTTTTCATGTTGTGTAATTGAGAATGTTAATGTTTTTATGTTGTTTAATATAGGTACCGGGATTTCTATTTGCAAGAAAGCAACAAGAGTTGACCAACTTAACATGACACAATTAGAAGATGAGTATGAAAAGAAGAAAACCGAGTCACAAGCAAAAGAAGTCCAGTTGCCATGTGAAGTTGGTGTTGGATTTAAGAAAAGAAAAGGTATTTAACACCTATTGAAAGAGCTTTTGGTGTTGAAATTAGGGACCAACTGGATCAAGAAATAGCTAGAATGTTTTATACTAGAGGTTTACCTTTTAATCTTGCAAGAAATCCACACTATATCAGGGCTTTTCAGTTTGCTGCTAACAACAAAATTGATGGTTATGTACCTCCTGGTTATAATAAGCTAAGAACAACATTACTACAAAAAGAAAAAGATAATGTTCACAAGCTATTGGAGCCACTTAGGTCTACATGGAAAGAAAAAGGTGTGACTATTGTGAGTGATGGCTTGAGTGATCCTACAAGAAAACCTCTAATCAACTTCATGGCTACCTCAGGCAATGGTCCTTTGTTTCTAAAGGCAGTGAATTATTTTGGGGAAGTGAAAGATAGATTTTTTATTGCTGCATTGATGAAGGAAGTCATCAATGAAATTGGTCATGAAAATGTTGTGCAAATCATTACCGACAATGCAGCAAATTGTAAGGCGGCTGGAGAGATTATAGAGAGTCAGTTTCCTCACATCTATTGGACACCATGTGTTGTTCATACACTTAATCTTGCTTTGAAGAACATTTGTTCACCAAGGAATGTGGAAACAAATGAACTAACATATGAACAGTGCCGCTGGATAAAAGAAGTTCATAAAGAGGTGTTTGCAATAAAAAATTTCATCATGAGCCATAACATGAGGCTCTCGATTTTCACCAAGTTTACTCCTCTTAGGTTGCTTTCTGTTGCTGACACTCGCTTTGCCTCCATCATTGTGATGCTTAAGAGATTGAAACTTATCAAAAGGGGTCTTCAAGCTATGGTCATAAGCGAAGAATGGTCTTCTTATAGATTAGATGATACTGAGAAAACAAACTCTGTGAAAGAATATATTTTGAATGATGATTGGTGGGATAAAGTAACATATATTCTTAGTTTCACTGGACCTATATATGAGATGATTAGAGCTTGTGACACTGACAAGCCATGTTTACACTTGGTCTATGAGATGTGGGATTCTATGATTGAGAAAGTGAAGATTGAGATCTACAAGAAAGAAAATCGTCTGACATCTCAAATAAGTAGTTTTTACGACGTTGCGCATCGTATTTTAGTGGCTCGATGGGCGAAGAATAACATTCCCCTACATTGTTTAGCTCACTCTTTACATCTAAGGTATAAGATTTTAAATTATAAACTTGATTTGTATTATATATTTATGTTTTAACTTTTGGATGTTGTAGATATTATAGTGATGCATGGTTAATGGAGGATTCTACAAGATGTGCTCCACATAGGGATGGACAAATTTCACAAGAAAGGATGAAATGCTTTCGAAGGTTGTTTCCTAATGATGATGAGTATGGCAGAGTCCTTGATGAGTATGCAATGTTTTCAATGAAGAGTGGTCATTTTGAAGATTTAACAAGCCTTTCAAAGACGGCTATTATGGAACCCAATAATTGGTGGGTTAACTTTGGTGCTCAAACTCCTTTTCTCCAGACTTTGGCTTTTAGATTACTTGGACAACCTAGTTCTTCTTCTTGTGCTGAGTGTAATTGGAGTACTTATGCATTTATTCACTCGCTTAAAAGGAACAAGTTGACTACAAGTCATGCTCAAGACTTGGTTTACATCCATAATAATCTCCGATTTTTGTCAATGACTCCGAAAGATGATGTAAAGATGTGGAATGTGGGCGGAGATGCTTTTGATTCAATGGAAGACGTCGGATTTTTGGAGTTTGCAGATCCCTCACTAGATTAACCCGACTTTGAAGATGATTTAATTATTGATAATTAGTTACTTTTGAAACATTTAGTATTTTGGGAGTTTAAACTTTACATATTTTGGAATTTCTTTAATATATATATATATATATATATATATATATATATATATATATATATATGTTTTTTCATATTTTTTATATTGCCGTATCTGTGCCGTATCCGTATCTTGAATTTTTGAGTTTTGTCATTTCCCGTTTCCGTTCCATATCCGTTTCCCGTTGCCGTATCCGTTTCCGTGCAACTTAGGTTCTTCAACTAGTCATTTTTCATCGACATGATAACCAAAACATCGTCCGATTTTGAAATTAATTATACTGTTATAATCGTCACAAAATGCCGATTCTTCGTAATTAAAATAAGAAATTTACCAATTTTTATACAAACTAATAAACACTTTCAAACCCACCCTCTCCGTTAATATTTTTATTAAATTTTATAATAATTTTCTAGTTACCATCTCATTTTAGTAAAGACCCGATTATTATTATCTTTGTTAATAAATATACAGTCAACTCATACTCTCATTGTGTTAGATTTTTCAAATATCAGAATATTCCAAATAATACCCGAATGTTTTTTGTTTTGTGCGAAGACTCCAAGTCTAAGGACATTATTGTCTTTCAACCTTCATTACCAACAACCAAGCTTACTATCTATCCCCCGAAGGACACTGATTCTCTATCCACTCTCCGATCAATGGCTCCGCCTTCCCAACTGCTCAACGGCGCTGGTGTCACCGCCGGAAAGTCGATTACTAGTCGTATGGCTTCCGTCTACAACGAAGTACAAAACAGCCGTCTTGATCATCCTCTTGCTCTCCCTTCCGTTTTCAGAAGCCCCTTTAAAATCGTCGATGGTCCCGCTAGCTCCGCTGCCGGAAATCCAGGTATTTCTCACATCACATTGATACTGAAGTGAATTTACGACTCCTGTAAAAGCAAAACTATTTATGCTAAGATCACAATTGATCGGAGTCCTTTAAATGATGGATTGATAATAATCTTTCTAATTCAGTCACTGCTGCATTGGATAAACAAGAATTTAAGTGTTTTGTTAGCTATGTTAACTGATTACATTGTGTGTAGATGTTAATTAGGTTTTATGATCGAATTTTGCATTTTGAGTTTTAAAGCTAACTGCTTACCATAAAGACCTAGTGAAACCCCTGTAAAAAAACGAACCAGTACTAAAACAAATCGGAGATTTTTTTTTATAATCCAAAATCACATAAAAGAATTGCAAAACACATCTAATCACCTGCAGAGATCGAGTGTAAAGATGAAGGATTGTGACTTCAGTTGTGCTTGTTCTAATGCTTTCAGATGAAATTGCAAAACTTTTCCCATCCCTGTTTGGGCAACCATCAGCAATATTGGTGCCAGGTGAATCTAATGAATCAGGATCTGCCTTGAAGATAGGAGTTGTGTTGTCAGGAGGACAAGCACCAGGAGAGCATAATGTTATATCTGAAATTTTTGGTTAGGATTTTGAACTTCCATTTCCTATTGTTCATATTGTTCATACTTCATATGATATGATTGAAAGTTGAATACAATTCAAATTAACTGTGTATCAAATTCAAATCTTTTCTCCCATTGCTTGGTGCAGATTACTTACAGGAATGCTGCAAAGGAAGTACTTTGTATGGGTTCAAGGGTGGGCCAGCTGGGATCATGAAGGGAAAATATGTGGTCTTGACCCCTGACTATATTTATCCTTACAGAAATCGGGTAAATATTAAAATGAACCTTTTCTCATTACAGATGGTATATGATAATCTATTATAAGTATAGATGGTATATGATAATCTATTATAAGTATGTAACTGATCAAATGTTAAACTAGTTCAAATATTAAACATATAAATCTTGAAATGCTTGAAGGTAAGAGTGTCTGAATGCAACTGATTTTCATACAGTTTGATGTTTTGTTTTAATTCACTACATCAGGGAGGATTTGATATGATCTGTAGTGGGAGAGACAAAATTGAGACTCCAAAGCAGGTGTCAATCATTGAGCCTTTGCTTACCTTGTTGATTTTTATATAATTGGGTGGATTTTTCAAAGTATAATAACCCAATAAAAAATGAATTGAACGTACAATGCTATAATTGGGTAGATTTTTCAAATTACAATGCCTTATTAATATCCATGCAGATCCTTAAAATTTAATAATGAAGCAAAGATAGAAATTTTGATTTGTATGCACCTGAAATTGAATCCAGTTTAAGCAAGCTGAAGATGTAGCAATGAATCTTGATTTGGATGGGCTTGTGGTTATTGGTGGAGATGATTCAAATACAAATGCCTGCCTTCTTGCTGAAAACTTTAGGTGAAGGATTACCCTTGATGTATTTGTATATGTGCTAATCAGTTTTTTTGGTGCTTAGATTCATGGTAAACTTCAATAACATAAATTTGAAGATATTAAAATTAGTATTGCACTATTGTAAGTCTGTTTAGTCTTCTCCCATGAAGTAAAAAAGAGACACCGATGTATAGCTTATTGGATTAAGTCATGTTTCCATTATGTTCATTAAGTCAAAAAGAAATAACAACATAGCCCCTTTGTTATACATTGTTGAGTTATGATGATAACAAAAAACAAAAAAAAACATTGTACTTTGAAAAAGTTTTCTATTTGGTTGACAATATTGGTATAATTAGAGGTAGATTTTTGAAAGCACAATGTTGTAACATGAGGAAATAATAAACATTGCTATTTCTTTCATTTATCTCTTGATTTTCACACTTGTAAGTTCTTCACCAAAATTGCATGTTCACCATTGATGACATCACCTCACTTTCTTGTAATTTGATTATTATACAGATTTATTCTGAGCAAATTGGAAATGTGATGATAGATGCTCGTTCTACAGGAAAATATTATCATTGTGAGCTCATTTGCCTTTACTCATTCACTATATCTATCTGCATTCTCCCTGGCCTCTGATTTTGTAGGATTAAGTTTATGTTTTTTCACTTTTTGTCCTTATCTTACTGTCTCTTAACGTTTTTAGTCCATTGGTCATCCGTCCAATTTAACACTCCATTCGTCAATTATATATAAAATGACCGTTTTTCCCTCAAATAAAATGTAAAATAACACTCGTATCTTCAGTTGTACGCCTAATGGGACGTGCTGCTTCCCACATTACATTACAGTGTGCTCTGCAAACTCATTCAAACATCACTCTTATTGGGGAGGAGGTACTAAATCTTCTTCCACCACATAACAATAACATATTATTAAAATATATTATATATGTAATTTTTGAAAATTCAAATATGGAAGATAATGAAAATGTTACTTACTGCAGGTTGCCTCTGAGAAGCTGACTTTGAAAAATGTTACAGATTACATAGCGGATGTAATTTGTAAACGTGAAGGTCTTGGTTATAACTATGGTGTCGTACTCATACCTGAAGGACTTATTGATTTCATTCTTGAGGTATTTACTATTTAAGCTTTCTAGGTTTAATTTTTCTACGATGAGGGCATTTATGTCATTTGTTTGTAATTATTTATTTATTTGTGATTTTTCAGGTGCAACAACTTATTTCGGAACTAAATGAAATTTTGGCGAGTGGAATTCTAGACGAGAGTGGCAAATGGAAAGAGAAGCTTATTCCTCAGTCTCTACAGCTTTTTGAGATACTTCCTCCTACAATTCAAGATCAATTGATGCTTGAAAGGGATCCCCATGGAATTGTTCAGGTGATTTTCACTTTCCTTTCAATCTAATCTATCATAATTCATAATTCATAAATGATGTGTGTTTATTATATTTATACCGAGTAAATTACACGAATGGTCCCTATGGTTTGAGGTAATTTACGCGTTTGGTCCCTAAGTTATTTTTTCAACTCGGAAAGTCCCTACTGTTTGTTTCTGTTCTTACGCGCTTGGTCCCTGTCTAACCTAAAAAAACTAATATTTAAATACGAAAAAATGGTGGAGTAGATAAGATAAGGTGAGGCGGTGGGGTGGGGTGGGGCTGGGGGTGTATTTATTTAAATAAATTAAAAAATGAAGGTCTAAATAGTTTTTTAAGGTAACACAGGGACCAAGCGCGTAACAAAAACAAACAGAAGGGATCTTCTGAGTTAAAAAAATAAGTTAGGGACCAAACGGCGTAAATTACCCTAAACCATAGGGACCAGTCATGTAATTTACTAATTTATACCTTAACTTAGGTTGCGAAAATATAAACATAGAAAATGCTTATGCAAATGGTTGAAAGTGAATTAGAGAAGAGGAAGCAAGTGGGCCAATATGCATGCCACTTTAAAGGCCAGTCCCATTTTTTCGGGTACTTGAGAACTCTAATCATCCAGCATTTTCTTTAGGGCTAAATGCAAGAAATAGTAGAATGCCTTTTTATTTGTTCACAATATTAATATTAATATTAATATTAATATGTGGGATTTGATTTGTATGTGTCAGTTATGAAGGACGATGTGGTTTGCCATCAAACTTTGACTCTTCTTACTGTTATGCATTGGGTTATGGTGCTGGAGCTCTACTCCAGGGTGGTAAATCCGGACTAATATCTTCCGTATGTATCTTTTCCTTCACCAACTTATAAAATTTATCACTTACAAGCTCACGGCTACAATTATAAACGTAATCTCAAAGGGCATTATTGTCTTTTCATAGGTTGGAAATTTGAGTGCACCCGTGGAAGAATGGACTGTTGGTGGAACTCCATTGACTTCTTTAATGGACGTGGAAAGGAGACATGGTAAGCCATCGATCAATATATTTGTTTTTTTGTTATGACTTATGATTACTAAAGGGGTAAAAAAGTAAATTTGAAAATTAACTGTAAGTAAATGTGTAGGTAAATTCAAGTCTGTGATAAAGAAGGCGATGGTTGAGCTTGATGGTGAGTTGGTAACTTTGGAATATTTTTCTTTGACAAATTTGGTTCGTAATTTAATTACATTTTCATTTTAAGGTGCACCATTCATGAAATTTGCATCCCTGAGGGAGGAGTGGGCCCTTCAAAACAGATATATACTAAAATTTATAAATAAAGAAAAAAATGTTGTTCTATTCTATAAGGGAATAAATTATTGTAATTAAATAAACTTATGTTTGGGGGAAAAACAAAGACTTTTTTGTTTCGCATAATGGAATGGAATTGGAAGGAATGTTGTGTAAACAGTAAATGATTTTTATAAAATATATTTGTGTAGGTCCCATTCAGTTTGTTGGAGCGGAAGCTGATAGAGCCAACCACACTTTGTTGTTGGAGCTTGGAATCCAGGTCTAACTTCACCCTACTACTAAACATTTTCAGATATATTTTTTCCGGTATGTTTTACAAAGTACAAAATATTTATAATATGAGTAAAACATAAGTTTATTGGCGGATTGGGATTGGGTATATGATCGTTGGCTCACAACCAATGTGCCTCCCAAGATTATTACATTAATGTATATCTTGTTTGTAAATAAATAAATTAAATCATGATGATGATGATGAAATACTATTTTGATATGAATGTTTGGGCACATTAGAGCTTATGATTCGGTGGTTGGAATAAACAGTTTCTTTCTTACATATAAACTCGTTTCATTATCTTCTTTATTATGTTATTGTGTACATGTTATCAACAAAAAGAGGCGATATATAAAATGAATAAAAAAAACATTTTTGTGAAGTAATGAAGAGACATCTTTTGAAGGAAATTAAAAGTTTCTCAAATTAGGTTAAAAAAATGTAAACATATTGTTTTGCTTTTTGATCACCAATTGTTAAAAAAAATGGGTTCATCTAGCAATTTTTTGTAATAAAAAGGGTCTTATAAGGTGGTTGATGGAAATATCCAATTTGCATCGTATTCTAGGAAAACAAATTTGGTTAAATTAGTTAAGAAACATGCATGCCTTTTAAACAAAATATTCCTTCGTTAACTGTTCAAAGTATACATACAAAGACTCAAAAAGTATAGATGCAAGGGATTAAGATTGTTAAATTTGTAAATATAATGGCTAGAAACGACAGGTTTGCAACAGAAAATTTATGAGTGCTTCTTTTCTTTGTCTAAAGCCTTAAGGTTGATGAGGGTAATTTTTCGGGTTTCGGTTTATTCTTGTTGGGTAATTTGGGGTTTTCATGTTAAAAAAATACCCGTTATCCAACCCAAATTAAATTTGGGTAATTCGGATAATGGGTCGGGTTTGGGTAATTCGGGTATTACCCGATATATATATATATATATATATATAATATATATATATATATATATATATATATATATATATATATATATTTGATTGACACATGTTACATAGTATAAGCTCTACGAAAGAAAATTTTTTTTTTTAAATAATTCAGGTAATTCCTGAAACCCAACAAACGTACCTTATATCCGACGAAAAAAAATTGGGTTACTCGAATACTAAAAAAAAATTAACCCGATACCTAATTTACCCAACCCGATTTATGCGATACCCGAAAAAATCAGACGGTTAATTAAAGTATCAGGTATTTTCGATAGGGCTATAAAACCTCATAACAGAAAGCCAAAATACATATAATGGCCGACTCCTCTAGTTTTAGATTATACTAGAAAGTACAGTGTTCAACATACAACTTTGATATGAAAAGTTGTTGACCATGCATATTTGAAAAATCTTTTTGCAAAAAGTTTTTATATGCTAACTCCGAGTAAATATTAGAAACCAAAGTGAATTCATATTTGTTTTTTCAAAAAAATCACTTTTAACCACTTTTTGCTGCGCCACACAACACACACAATATTTGGGTTTTCGCAGCTGTTTGTTTTTTTGGAAAACTTTTTACTTAAAAATTGTTGCATGTGTGCTACGTGGCGCAACATTGGACCATCATCTTCAAATCACTTCTCACTTACTTTAAGTTATAGTATTATTCAACTTAGATTTGTTTGTTTTTTTTTTCAACATGATTTTTATTATTTTAATAATATTTGAAGAATATGTAAACAATTGGAGTATATTTTACATAATTTCAAATAATTTCAAAATCGTTTGGTAAATTTCATATAAATATTTTTTTTGTTATATTATTTATAACCAAATATTAATAAATTATAAAGTTAATCATTAATATTACCAAATTTATTGAAATTAACCGGAAAAATAATCATCGTCTTCAAAATTTTAACAAAGTGAACATGTTATTAGCTAAATTAACAATTTTGTTTATTGTTATTTAGCAAATATTATGTTTAATTCTTTTATATAAAACAATTTAAAAAGATAATATCATTACAATGATCTTTATATTTAATTTGTATATGATTAAACAAAATAAATTTTTTACTTATATTTATTTTAATTACTGAATAGTTAGTTTCAGTTTATTACAACAGTCTGCAGAGATTAAAAAATAAAATTTTGCAGCTGTTTGTTTTCCTTTTTTTACTACATAGGGTTGCAGATGTGGTCGGCAGACTTTAACTGTTTTCACTTCAAAAAAACAAATAAGACCTTAATGGTCTATAGGTATGAGCAGATTTAGATCTTCAAACAAATGCAATTATTCAATGTAATGAAAATCGGCAAATTCAATAAAATTATAATTTTTTTTAGTATGATTCATTTAAGTTCGTATAAACATTTTTTTTTGTTTCTTAGGAATGAGGATTTATTTTTTTTATTATAAACAATATGTTTTGTTGGCCGTATGCTTATTCACTTTTTTTTAATTTTTTTTATTATTTTTTTTTATGGCTAAAAATATTTCTAAAGTAAATTACTTTTTTTGGTCCCTCCACTTTAGTGCCAAAGAGAATCTTTTATCTTAGCATTATTGGTTTATGTTTCGAATAATACCCGAATGTTTTTTTGTTTTGTGCGAAGACTCCAAGTCTAAGGATATTGTTGTCTTTCGACCTTCATTACCAACAACCAAGCTTACTAGCTATCCCCCGAAGGATACTGATTCTCTATCCACTCTCAGATCAATGGCTCCGCCTTCCCAACTGCTCAACGGCGCTGGTGCCACCGCCGGAAAGTCGATTACTAGCCGTATGGCTTCCGTCTACAGCGAAGTACAGAACAGCCGTCTTGATCATCCTCTTGCTCTCCCTTCCGTTTTCAGAAGCCCCTTCAAAATCGTCGATGGTCCCGCTAGCTCCGCTGCCGGAAATCCAGGTATTTCTCACATCATATTGATACTGAAGTGAATTTACGACTCCTGTAAAAGCAAAACTATTTATGCTAAGATCACAATTGATCGAAGTCCTTTTTAATGATGGATTGATAATAATCTTTCTAATTCAGTCACTGCTGCATTGGATAAACAAGAATTTAAGTGTTTCGTTAGCTATGTTAACTGATTACGTTGTGTGTAGATGTTAATTAGGTTTTATGATCGAATTTTGCATTTTGAGTTTTAAAGCTAACTGCTTACCATAAAGACCTAGTGAAACCCCTGTAAAAAACGAACTAGTACTAAAACAAATCGGAGATTTTTTTTTATAATCCAAAATCACATAAAAGAATTGCAAAACACATCTAATCACCTGCAGAGATCGAGTGTAAAGATGAAGGATTGCGACTTCAGTTGTGCTTGTTCTAATGCTTTCAGATGAAATTGCAAAACTTTTCCCATCCCTGTTTGGGCAACCATCAGCAATATTGGTGCCAGGTGAATCTAATGAATCAGGATCTGCCTTGAAGATAGGAGTTGTGTTGTCAGGAGGACAAGCACCAGGAGGGCATAATGTTATATCTGGAATTTTTGGTTAGGATTTTGAACTTCCATTTCCTATTGTTCATATTGTTCATACTTCATATGATATGATTGAAAGTTGAATACAATTCAAATTAACTGTGTATCAAATTCAAATTTTTTCTCCCATTGCTTGGTGCAGATTACTTACAGGAATGCTGCAAAGGAAGTACTTTGTATGGGTTCAAGGGTGGGCCAGCTGGGATCATGAAGGGCAAATATGTGGTCTTGACCCCTGACTATATTTATCCTTACAGAAATCAGGTAAATATTAAAATGAACCTTTTTTCATTACAGATGGTATATGATAATCTATTATAAGTATGTAACTGATCAAATGTTAAACTAGTTCAAATAGTAAACATATAAATCTTGAAATGCTTGAAGGTGAGAGTGTCTGAATGCTACTGATTTTCATACAGTTTGTTGATTTGTTTTAATTCACTGCATCAGGGAGGATTTGATATGATCTGTAGTGGGAGAGACAAAATTGAGACTCCAGAACAGGTGTCAATCATTGAGCCTTTGCTTACCTTGTTGATTTTTATATAATTGGGTGGATTTTTCAAAGTATAATAACCCAATAAAAAATGAATTGAACGTACAATGCTATAATTGGGTAGATTTTTCAAATTACAATGCCTTATTAATATCCATGCAGATCCTTAAAATTTAATAATGAAGCAAAGATAGAAATTTTGATTTGTATGCACCTGAAATTGAATCCAGTTTAAGCAAGCTGAAGATGTAGCAATGAAGCTTGATTTGGATGGGCTTGTGGTTATTGGTGGAGATGATTCAAATACAAATGCCTGCCTTCTTGCTGAATACTTTAGGTGAAGGATTACCCTTGATGTATTTGTATATGTGCTAATCAGTTTTTTTGGTGCTTAGATTCATGGTAAACTTCAATAACATAAATTTGAAGATATTAAAATTAGTATTGCACTATTGTAAGTCTGTTTAGTCTTCTCCCATGAAGTAAAAAAGAGACACCGATGTATAGCTTATTGGATTAAGTCATGTTTCCATTATGTTCATTAAGTCAAAAAGAAATAACAACATAGCCCCTTTGTTATACATTGTTGAGTTATGATGATAACAAAATGTGGTGTGAAAGTGCTTATTTGATTATTATATTCCACAGGAGTAGAAAATTAAAGACACGAGTGATTGGATGCCCAAAGACTATTGATGGTGACTTGAAATGCAAAGAGGTTCCTACAAGTTTTGGTTTTGATACTGCATGCAAGGTAATTCCAGTTATAACTTTGAGCAACAAACTTACATTTATCTGTTTACTGTAGCATTCTACTTTTGTTTCTTTATATTACAACCTTGTACTTTCAAAAAACAAAAAAAAACATTGTACTTTGAAAAAGTTTTCTATTTGGTTGATAATATTGGTATAATTAGAGGTAGATTTTTGAAAGCACAATGTTGTAACATGAGGAAATAATAAACATTGCTATTTCTTTCATTTATCTCTTGATTTTCACACTTGTAAGTTCTTCACCAAAATTGCATGTTCACCATTGATGACATCACCTCACTTTCTTGTAATTTGATTATTATACAGATTTATTCTGAGCAAATTGGAAATGTGATGATAGATGCTCGTTCTACAGGAAAATATTATCATTGTGAGCTCATTTGCCTTTACTCCTTCACTATATATATCTACATTCTCTCTGGCCTCTGATTTTGTAGGATTAAGTTTATGTTTTTTCACTTTTTGTCCCTATCTTACTGTCTCTTAACGTTTTTAGTCCATTGGTCATCCGTCTAATTTAACACTCCATTCGTTAGTTATATATAAAATGACCGTTTTGCCCTCAAATAAAATGTAAAATAACACTCGTATCTTCAGTTGTACGCCTAATGGGACGTGCTGCTTCCCACATTACATTAGAGTGTGCTCTGCAAACTCATCCAAACATCACTCTTATTGGGGAGGAGGTACTAAATCTTCTTCCACCACTTAACAATAACATATTATTAAAATATATTATATATGTAATTTTTGAAAATTCAAATATGGAAGATAATGAAAATGTTACTTACTGCAGGTTGCCTCTGAGAAGCTGACATCGAAAAATGTTACAAATTACATAGCGGATGTAATTTGTAAACGTGAATGTCTTGGTTATAATTATGGTGTCATACTCATACCTGAAGGACTTATTGATTTCATTCCTGAGGTATTTACTATTTAAGCTTTCTAGGTTTAATTTTTCTACGATGAGGGTATTTATGTCATTTGTCTGTAATTATTTATTTGTTTGTGATTTTTCAGGTGCAACAACTTATTTCGGAACTAAATGAAATTCTGGCGAGTGGAATTGTAGATGAGAGTGGCAAATGGAAAGAGAAGCTTATTCCTCAGTCTCTACAGCTTTTTGAGATACTTCCTCCTGCAATTCAAGATCAGTTGATGCTTGAAAGGGATCCCCATGGAAATGTTCAGGTGAGTTTCACTTTGCTTTTTATCTAATCTATCATAATTCATAATTCATAAATGATGTGCGTTTATTATATTTATACCGAGTAAATTACACGAATGGTCCCTATGGTTTGAGGTAATTTGCGCGTTTGGTCTCTAAGTTATTTTTTTAACTTGGAAAGTCCCTACTGTTTGTTTCTGTTGTTACGCGCTTGGTCCCTGTCTTACCTAAAAAAACTAATATTTAAATACGGAAAAATGGTGGAGTAGATAAGATAAGGTGAGGCGGTGGGGTGGGGTGGGGCTGGGGGTGTATTTATTTAAATAAATTAAAAAATGAAGGTCAAAATAGTTTTTTAAGGTAACACAGGGACCAAGCGCGTAACAAAAACAAACAGAAGGGATCTTCCGAGTTAAAAAAATAAGTTAGGGACCAAACGGCGTAAATTACCCTAAACCATAGGGACCAGTCATGTAATTTACTAATTTATACCTTAACTTAGGTTGCGAAAATAGAAACAGAGAAAATGCTTATGCAAATGGTTGAAAGTGAATTAGAGAAGAGGAAGCAAGTGGGCCAATATGCATGCCACTTTAAAGGCCAGTCCCATTTTTTCGGGTACTTGAGAACTCTAATCATCCAGCATTTTCTTTAGGGCTAAATGCAAGAAATAGTAGAATGCCTTTTTATTTGTTCATAATATTAATATTAATATTAATATGTATGTGGTAGTTACGAAGGACGATGTGGTTTGCCTTCAAACTTTGACTCTTCTTACTGTTATGCATTGGGTTATGGTGCTGGAGCTCTACTCCAGGGTGGTAAATCCGGACTAATATCTTCCGTATGTATCTTTTCCTTCACCAACTTATAAAATTTATCACTTACAAGCTCAAGGTTATAATTATAAACGTAGTCTCGAAGGGCATTCTTGTCTTTTCATAGGTTGGAAATTTGGGTGCACCGGTGGTAGAATGGACTGTTGGTGGAACTCCATTGACTTCTTTAATGGACGTGGAAAGGAGACATGGTAAGCCATCAATATTTATGCTAAAGGGGCAAAAAAGTAAATTTGTAAAATTAACCGTAAGTAAATGTGTAGGTAAATTCAAGCCTGTGATAAAGAAGGCGATGGTTGAGCTTGATGGTGAGTTGCTGCTAAGTTTGAAATCTTTTTCTTTGACAATTTTGGTTCCTAATTTAATTATATAACATCTGATATTTTTCATTTTAAGGTGCACCATTCAAGAAATTTGCATCACTGAAGGAGGAGTGGTCTCTTCAAAACAGATATATCAGTCCTGGTACTAAAATTTATAAATAAAGAAAAGAATGTTGTTCTATTCTATAAGAGAATAAATTATTGTAATTAAATAAACTTATGTTTGGGGGAAAAACAAAGACTTTTTTGTTTCGCATAATGGAATGGAATTGGAAGGAATGTTATGTAAACAGTAAATGATTTTTATAAAATATATTTGTGTAGGTCCCATTCAGTTTGTTGGAGCGGAAGCTGATAGAGCCAACCACACTTTGTTGTTGGAGCTTGGAATCCAGGTCTAAGTAACTACCTTCACTCTACTACTAAACATTTTCACATATACTTTTTTACGGTATGTTTTACAAATTACAAAGAGTAAATTACACGAATGGTCCCTATGGTTTAGGGTAAATTACATGTTTGGTCCCTAATTTATTTTTTTAACTCGAAAGGTTCCTACTGTTTGTTTTTGTTACATGTTTGGTCCCTGTCTTACCTAAAAAGACTATTTTGGCCTTGATTTCTTAATTTATTTAAATAAACACACCCTCAACCTCATCTATCTCACCTTACCTTACATACCCCATCATTTTTTCCTATTTAAATAATAGTATTTTTAGGTAAGCCGGGGACCAAACGCGTAACAAAAACAAATAGTAGGGACCAAGCGCATGACAAAAACAAACAATAGGGATCTTCCAAGTTAAAAAAATAAGTTAGGGACCAAACGCGCAAATTACCCCAAATCATAGGGACCATTCGTGTAATTTACTCAAATACAAAATATTTATAATATGAGTAAAAAATAAGTTTATTGGCGGATTGGGATTGGGTATATGATCGTTGGGTCACAGCCAATGTGCCTCCCAAGATTATTACATTAATGATATCTTGTTTGTAAATAAATAAATTAAATCATGATGATGATGATGATGATGATAAAATACTATTTTGATATGAATGTTAGGGCACATTAGAGCTTATGATTCGGTGGTTGGAATAAACAGTTTCATTCTTACATATAAACTCATTTCATTATCTTCTTTATTATGTTATTGTGTACATGTTATCAACAAAAAGAGGCGATAGATAAAATGAATAAAAGAAACATTTTTGTGAACTAATGAAGAGACATCTTGTGAAGGAAATTAAAAGTTTCTCAAATTAGGTTAAAAAAATGTAAACAAGTAATTGTTTTGCTTTTTGATCACCAATTGTTAAAAAAAAAACGGGTTCATCTAGCAATTTTTTGTAATAAAAAGGGTCTTGTAAGGTTGTTGATGGAAATATCCAATTTGCATCGTATTCTAGGAAAACAAATTTGGTTAAATTAGTTAAGAAACATGCATGCCTTTTAAACAAAATATTCCTTCGTTAACTGTTCAAAGTATACATACAAAGACTCAAAAAGTATAGATGCAAGGGATTAAGATTGTTAAATTTGTAAATATAAGGGCTAGAAACGACAGGTTTGCAACAGAAAATTTATGAGTGCCTCTTTTCTTTGTCTAAAGCCTTAAGGTTGATGATCGGGTAATTTTTCGGGTTTCGGTTTATTCGGGTTGGGTAATTTGGAGTTTTCATGTTAAAAAAAATACCCGTTATCCAACTCAAATTAAATTCGGGTAATTCGGATAGTGGGTTGGGTTTGGGTAATTCGGGTATTACCCGATATATATATATATATATATATATATATATATATATATATATATATATATATATATATATATATATATATATATATATATATATTGATTGGAACATGCTACATAGTATAAGCTCTACGAAAGATTTTTTTTTTTTTTTTTTTTTTTTTTTTTTTTTAAATAATTCAGGTAATTCGGGTATACCTGAAACCCAACAAACGTACCCTATATCCGACTAAAAAAAATTGGGTTACTCGAATACTAAAAAAAAATTAACCCGATACCTAATTTACCCGACCCGATTTATGCGATACCCGAAAAAATCAGACGGTTAATTAAGGTATCAAGTATTTTCGATAGGGCTATAAAACCTCATAACAGAAAGCCAAAATACATATAATGGCCGACTCCTCTAGTCTTAGATTATACTAGAAAGTACAGTGTTCAATGTACAACTTTGATATGAAAAGTTGTTAGACCATGCATATTGGAAAAATCTTTTTGCAAAAAAATTTTATATGCTAACTCCGAGTAAGTATTAGAAACCAAAGTGAATTCATGTTTGTTTTTTCAGAAAAATCACTTTTAACCACTTTTTACTGTACCGCACAACACACACATAATAATTGGGTTTTCGCAGCTGTTTGTTTTTTGGAAAAAATTTTACTTAAAAATTGTTGCACGTGTGCTACGTGGCGCAACATTGAACCATCATCTTCAAATCACTTCTCCCTTACTTTAAGTTATAGTATTATTCAACTTAGATTTGTTTGTTTTTTTTTTGAACATGATTTTTATTATTTTAATAATATTTGAAGAATATGTAAACAATTGGAGTATATTTTACATAATTTCAAATAATTTCAAAATTGTTTGGTAAATTTCATATAAATATTTTTTTTGTTATATTGTTTATAATCAAATATTGATAAATTATAAAGTTAATCATTAATATTACCAAATTTATTGAAATTAATCTGAAAAATAATCATCGTCTTCAAAATTTTAACAAAGTGAACATGTTATTAACTAAATTAACAATTTTGTTTATTGTTATTTAGCAAATATTATGTTTAATTCTTTTATATAAAACTATTTAAAAAGATCATATCATTACAATGATCTTTATATTTAATTTGCATATGATTAAACAAAATAAATTTTTTACTTATATTTATTTTAATTACTATATAGTTAGTTTCAGTTTATTATAACAATCTGCAGAGATTAAAAAACAAACTTTTGCAGCCATTTGTTTTCCTTTTTTTACTACATAGGGTTGCAGATGTGGTCGGCAGACTTTAACCGTTTTCACTTCGAAAAAACAAATAAGACCTTAGTGGTCTATAGGTATGAGCATATTTAGATCTTAAACTTGTTTAAATAAATGCAATTATTCAATGTAATGAAAATCGGCAAATTCAATAAAATTATAATTTTTTTTAGTATGATTCATTTAAGTTCTTATAAACATTTTTTTGTTTCTTTGGAATGAGCATTTATTTTTTTTATTATAAACAATATGTTTTGTTGGTCGTATGCTTTATATTCACTTATTGTTTTTTTTTTTTTTTTATTATGGCTCAAAATATTTCTAAAGTAAATTACTTTTTTTGGTCCCTCCACTTTAGTGCCAAAAAGAATCTTTTATCTTAGCATTATTGGTTTATGTTCCAAATAGAGCAATTAGTTATTGTGGTTGAGTTTGTACCTTACTTTTGAAAAATATAATGGTTTTACTTGTAAATGACAAGACGTTATAAAAGCCTCCAATAAAAATAAAAAATAAAAAATTAGGTGGACCAACAATATATTTACTATATTTATTTATAATAAGGTTATTATTAATGTGAAGATGTCGGCAGATATTTATTGAGGAAAAAGGTTGAGGGAAATAATTGAGGATAGATATGTTATTTATTAAATTTTGAAGAGAGAGGGGGGTGTGTAGGATAGGGAAATTGGAGATCGGATTCAACAAAAGTCGAGTATTATGCTTCGATCTTGCCAAAATCTGATGATGATTTGGGTGTAGTTGTAAGGTAATCTCGATGCATTTATCTCACCTAATTCTAATTCCTTCATCTTCAAGCATATTATATTATATGTAATGGAGACTTTTAGTTGATTGCAAAATAGGTTAGAATGAAACAAAAGTTGAGAGGAAAATCTGGTCGTTCCTTTAACAAATGTGTTGTTGTAATTCCCTGCAGCCATGTTTGTATATTTTTTTGCTTTGAGATCAATCAAGCTCAATTTTTTTTTTTGCTTCAGAATGAATTCCCTTGCAGCCGTATTGGGCTACCAAAGTTGGAAATTTTTTATGCCATATCCAATACCAACCTCAATGGTTTTTTTCCTGAATTTTGTAACAATAGCTCACTTGAACATGTGGATTTAGCTTAGACAGGTTTGTTTAGGATTGTAGTCGAATCTATAAGCAACCTAAAACCATTTGATGTTATTGGTCTTTTCACGATGTTTTTTCTCGGGTACTCATTATGTCATTGAAGTCATTTGTCTCATATTCAAAACCAACAACGAAATGCGTAAGCTACAAACACAAAGAGGAAGGATTCCACCAATGTTGTTTAGAGATAAATCCAACACTCAAAAAGGTTTCACTTCACATATCAATGATGTTATTTGTCATGTGAGCTTATTATTTCAGACTCCACAAGCAAATGTGGTTTATGTTTTCATAGTTTGTTCATACGATTCATCAAGTTTGGTCACCCTGCCTAGCCAATTTTGCAAGTGCCCCTTTGCAAATCTGTAACATCGAGTTCCAAAACATTGAGATTCAAAAAAATTACCAATGAAGGAACAAACCCTATGAACTTGTTGCTAGTAAAGACCCAAGGCAGTGTATTGTGTGAAGTTAGAGAATGAATTTGGAATGTGTCTAAAGAAGAGTTTAAGGTAAGGCTTAATAATATTGAATGGTTTAGATTGCTTATGGATTCTGGTACAATCCTAAAGAAATCTATGTAAGTTAGATTCACATGTTCAAGTAAGCTGTTGTTATGAAACTCGGGAAAGAAACCAGTGAGGTTGGTATTGGATGTCACATTAAGAATTTTCAACTTTGGTAGATCAAATATGGCTGTAGGGAAGTCATTCCGAAGCAAAAAACTTAGCTTGATTGACCTCAAAGTGAAAAATCCATACAAAAGGATTGGCCAAGAAACAAGGTACAAATCATATGGCAGGATTGGGCAAGAAATGAGGTACATTTATAGTCTAGCATTGTAGATTGCAATGTAGTAAATAGTAATTGTGATTGGTTTCCCAACATTTGATCTAGTTTGTTGCCTTAAAACAATTGTTGTTAGGATAACTATGCAGGGAATGCATGTAAAAAATAGTTTACATATGAAATAGAAATGAACTTTTTATTTAAAAGTTAAGTCATTTTGGTGGAATATGCATGCTTTGTAGATTAGTCGGGTTTATGCTCATGGACCTTGAATTATGGCCTAGTCTTAGGATCTGTTTTTCTATTTTCTCAAGCGTATAGTTTGCCGAATGTTTGTGAAATCAACCGAATTTGTCAATGGAATTTCATTTGTTGGTTGATTGGAAATGTAATGAAATTTATTGGATTTTAAGTTTAACTACATTTATTAATATTTATTTACTTTAGTACATATAATGAAAGTATTTTGGTCTTAACAAAAAAAGAATGAAATTGAATTCCTTCCGTCACTCCTGAGGATGGTGAAATCCATCAAACATGGATATTTGAAGCTAGCTTAATCGAACTTCGTTTATTTCATCATTTGCAACCAAAGACCCCTTCAAATGGCATCTCATATTCTAGTTAATTTTGATTCAGGAATTCATTAACATATAATCAAAATGCCTTTTCAAGCTTGGAGAAAAAAAAGTAAAAAGGAAGGAAAAGAAAGTGACATTCTTTTTGCGTGAAAAAATGACGTGTTTTAGAAAATGCTGTTTTTTTTAATAATCTTAATTGGTAATGAACTTTTATTATTTTTAATTTTTAGTTTTGTAAATAATAGATTCTATAAGTATAACTAAATAATTAATAGAAACATTTACATATGACATAAAATCGACATACCACATACCCATTTTATTTTCAAGTTAGCCAACTTTTTTTTTCTAGTCGAATCAATAAAACCTTCTATTTTTCGTTTTCCATTTCATTTACGGTTTACGAGTTTGATCGTGTATGCTTAACGAAAAACCGAAGTTTTTATTTTTAGTAGGATGTTTGGCCGAGTTTTGTTTAGCCTGAAATTGGAAATATGGAATTATCAATATTGTTTATTATTTTTCATAAATAACTCAACTCAATCAAAAACAAATCATCTATTATTTGAAAAGA